AATCGACAATGGAGCTGACGGGGTCACCTGCGAAGTCCCTGGAGTAAGCCCCAGGCTAAATGATGGGATATCACTAGGATCAGGGTGGTCACCCGGTTGATCAACTCCAACATCCTCAACAGTTGCCTCAACGCCCCCTTGCTGGGGACCACCTCCTCGCCAACCCCCACGACCTCGTGAGACATCCCAACCTCGTGGCACACCCTTGCCACGCTCAGGCTGCACTGGTGGCCCACGATGGTACTGCTCTGGTGCCATATAATCAACCTCGTGTCCTAAGCGCTCATCATACCGGGCTCGCTGCAACGTCCAGGCAGCCAAATATATAACCTGTCGGCTATAGTCGTGCGAAGTAGCCGCTCCCTCACCGGTATGCTGCTGCATCTGCAGTCCCAACTGTTGGAACATATGTAGTCCAATAACCTGCATAACATGTAAAATATTAATTGCGAAACGGTAATGTTAACATTATAACTAAGTATACCAAATAAGATACCAGTGTCTCATGCCTCCCAATGTATGGAAAGAACCGACCGCCAGTGCGATGAGCGGGATTCCGGATGATAAGTCGGGTAATGCTGCGGTACCAGCCGATATACTCATGCGCACCAGCCTTAAGCTCGGGGTGGAGGGGGTAGCGGAATCAGGTCACACCGCTAATCCCAAGTCTCGATATATGCCTCTAGCTATGCCTCATATGCCTGGCCAACCCTCGAACGATCATCCTGCTGGTAATGTGTCCCAACCCAAGGGTGGAGGTACAATCTGTGGTCGACCAAACTGGTGAAGGACTCGCTTAGTGGCATGATGCTCGACAATATCGAGACACATCAACGGGACGGATGAGCTCCAGATAAGTCGCCCTGTCGAGCAATAATCGGGAAAACTAGCTATTAGCTCGTCGCTGTGGGGCCTCCAAATGAACTACTACGTAAAAACAGAAACCGTGAGTATACAAAACACATATAAATCCAAGCCAAGTAAACTTAAGTATAGAATTACCTGCACGTCCTCCAGCAAATCCAACAAATCTCTGCAATATGGGAGATTATGTCGAGCCTCGTACTCGTGTCCGTATCCCTGCCTATCAACCCACCTCCTAGCTAAAGGGAGAAACAGTGGATGTGGTGCATCCTAAGCTATGGGTGGTAGAGGTGGTTGAAACTACAGGAACCACTCCCAGGCCCAAACCTAATATACAATTTGGACGTAAATTTTAAGGTATATTTTTATGATGTATGTTATAATGAAGAGAGTATTTGACTATATTTTTACCTGCAACAGTGACATAAATCCTGCAACGTCTCGTTGGGTGCCCATGCATGCGCGGCACATCTGCCGGTACAAGTAACCAAGAACAGTAGCACCCCAGCTGTACTGATGAAAATCATCTAGCCGCTTAAGATGATGAAGAAATCTCAAGCTGACTAGGTTTCTCGAAGTGTTTGGGAACAATCCGCCGCCAAACATAAGCAGCAGCAACGACCTCGTGTACCGGTTAATATGAAGCTCCTGTGTATCATGAGTAATGTCATCATGCATGGCCTCCAGATACAGTCGGACTGGCGTCAACACAAGACGACTATCCCCAACCAATACACCCTCATCCTCTGGTCGGAAACCGGTAAGCTGCTGCAACGTGTCCGGGTACTGAGCTCCCGTATAATCTCTCATGGGTTGCGGCAAAGCAACAGGAAGTCCATCAACCGGCAGCCTATACCAAACCTCCACGTCCTGCAGCGTGATAGCGGCCTCGCCAATGGGCAAATGGAGTGTGTGCGTCTTTAGTTGCCACCGCTATATCAAAGCCGTGATCAACGACCAATCCAGCTACAGTCGGCCGATCTCAATGATCCTATAAAAACCCGTATCCTGCAGGCGTCTGACTATACGGGGATGGAGCTGGCGGTCCCTAAGAAAGTTCCACATATCGTCTATTCTCCTAGAACGTAAAGTCTGGGCCAATAACTGCCCCTCCCATATGTAGGAAGACCTATGCTCGGCCTCTAGCTATAGTAGCTCTAGGGAGGCAGGTCCCGAATGCAAAGGCGGAACCTCCATGACGACTATTGTAAATTGAACAAAATTAATTACATTATTTTTCTTTTCCACTGCTTAAATATATTGCAATACCTTGAAATATTAAATTTTATTCGACATTTTTACTATATTGTTTATTAGATCGATACATTTACAATATTATAATTTTATATTTTATATGTTTCTTTAATATGTTAGTTTTATTATTTTTTATATTAGTTAGTTATTCACCTTTTTTTTACTATACATGATTCAATTATTAAATATTATATTTTGGTTCGAGACATAATATTTGAGGCCCAGTAGCACCAATGTACCTGAATTCTTATGTTCATGATGAGAAAATTTTTCCGATTTTTCACTCAAGAGGTCTGTTATTTTATATGTTAGTTTATTATTGTATATGTTAGTTTTATTATTTTATATGTTTGTTTGTTTGTTAATGACTTATTTTTTACTATACTAAAATTAAATAATTAATTTTCATAACTATACAAGATTTAATTATTTAATATTCACATTTTGGTTTCGGACACAATATCTGAGGCCCAGTAGCACCAATGTATCCTGAATTCTAATGTTCTTACGTTTGTTGACTATAATTGGAGATTTTTTGTGTTTGAACTACCAATTTTTTGACGTATTTTTGGGAATAAGAGATACTTAAATTATCTAATTTCTATAACTATAATGATAGCACGCTAAAGAGAACTACGTTTTACTACGCTAAAAGGTCACTACATTACAAATACGAGCACTGCATTAGGTTACAAGATACCACTATAGGAAACTAAAGTAAAAATTTATCTAGTTTACTAGTCTTTTAGTAAATTAATAATCTAAACAGGATAAAAACAATAAATCAATTTAATCACAAAACAATCACGAAATTACATATACCACACTAAAAAGTAACTAATTAATATATTTTAACAACTAATAACAATTTCTATATTTTATAATTTTTTTTAGCACACTAATACTATAGTCCGGATAAAAATAACAAATTAGTTAAATCGCAAAACAATCACAAAATAACATAGACCACATAAAAAATAACTAATATGCATTAATTATACAAGTATTAACAAAAACTAAGTCGAAATACCTCGATTTATGGTTTTTAGAAAGTCAAAAATTTTGTGATTTGGAGCCGAAACAAGCAACAACGTCCGAGATAACGCTTAAGCTAGCACGTGGGACCAAAAATATTTACTTTTTGTGGGACGGGTGGGCTCCACTCAAGCTCTTTTGGTTTAAAAATGGAGGAGGGGGTGACTGTTTCTATTTTTTTAATTTAGGGGGTAGGGGGGGTGGGGGGGTGGGGGGGGAGATTCTGTTTTGGGGGAAGGGAAGGAGACTATATATTTATATGTAGGGGTGTTCATGGTTCGGTTTGGGTCGATTTTTTCTTAAAAAGAAACCAAACCAAGTAAGTCGGTTTTTTTAAATATTGGGACCAAACCAAACCAATTGAGTCGGTTTTTTATTGATTCGGTTTATGTCGGTTTTTGTCCGTTTTTCGGGGTTTTTGGTTATTTATCGGATTTTTTTAAATATGAAACATACACTACCAAACGCATATTCCGGCGACTATATTTTCAACGTAACACTATCAAATCAATTGCTCTTTGAGAAATCTATCATTTTCAAGATATATTGATCATAATTGAATTAAATGGTGATAAAGAATTTAAGTACTCCATTAAAAATCGATTATTTTTAACATGAAATAAATTCGTGTACTTAGTAAAAGAAAACTACCAATCAAACTAGAATGTAGAGGCAAAGAATTAGATTATTATAATAGCAAAGAACTAGACTAAAAATACAAGTGACTAATATGTACCATAAAATTTTAGAAACTTTACATAAAAATATACATATGTAGGTGTAATAATAAATTTAAATAGCTACTTTTATAGTTGGTTTGGTTCGGTATTTTTGGTTATTTGTTTTTAATAAAACCAAAACCAAACCAAATTTGATCAGTTTTTAAAATTAAAAACCAAAACCAAACCAAACCAATAATGTATTTGTTTTTTTGGTCGGTTTTGTTCGGTTTTTCAGGTTTTTATGAACACCCCTATTTATATGTATAGCGTCTTTTGTTAAGATGCTATATACAGGGGCGTATAAACCTTGACCTATGCGATGTCAAGGGACACCGCTTCGCCGAATTATTTTAGTAGATATGTACTCCCTCCGTTTCATACTAAATGAGGTACTTTCCTTTTTAGTCTGTTCCAAAATAAATGACACATTTCTAAATTTGGAAATAATTCAACTTTAAACTCCTCATTTTACCCATTTTACCCTTAATGAGAAGCTTTTATAACCACACAAAAGTCATGGCTCCACAAAGCTTTACCCCTTAAGCTTTTAAGATCACAAATTTCAAAAGTCTTTCTTTTTTTTCTTAAACTCCGTGCCGAGTCAAACTACCTCATTTAATTTGAAATGGAGGGAGTATAAGAAAATAAAAGTATTGGAGATAAATATAGAAAATGACACCGCTTATCATTATACTAATTTACTCATTTGTTCATTTCTTTAAATTGTGACACTGCTTATAAAAAATCATGCATACGCTACTGGCTATATATATATATATATAACGTCTTAACAAAAGACGCTATAGTTTCCCGCTAAATATTGCGTCTTTTAGAAAGACGCTATACTTAACTAACCAAATGGCCGTTAAAGTATAGCGACTTTTAAAAAAAACGCTATATTTATTTTGGTCACTATATTTTTTTCGACATATTTTCGTTTTTTTTTAGTCCAAAAGAACCAGATTTTGGTTCCGGACTCTTTTTATGGCTTTAATATAAACATCGGGTGTTGAATTTTCTAGAGAAAAAAGTAATGTGATAGGAGACACATGGCGGTTTGTAATAAGTAAAGAATTTTGAGACAGTGTAAAATATTGAATATGCTGGCACGGGCTCCATTATAGGGTTCTATAAAGTGCAGCCCAAGCAGAGACTTTTACTAGCTAGCTGAAAGAGGTTGTACTACTTTGTTTACAAGATAAGCTACCAAAACAAAAATCCATGGCATCTAAACCAGGCATTCTCACTGAATGGCCATGGACATGGCTTGGCAACTTCAAGGTATACTAATCATATTGCTTCATTTTTCATAGTTTTTCTTAAAGTCCTACTATATGTTTTTCCTTTTTATTATATTAGAGCATAATTACGTTTATGTTAATGAATCTCCTTTCCTTCTCCTCCTCTTCTGTAAGGAAAATATGTTCCTTCAATGCATCAAACAAATAAATAGAGATATATTGGTGGAGGGGGCGATTCATTATTCAGATTTCATAAGTTTAACTTTTACGTTCTTATCATTAAATTAAATTATGGATTTAAAATTTAATAATTTATTAAAATTATTTGAGTGTGATTTTATTCCATATATTTATGTTTTGTGTTAGACAATATCTAATTCAGTGCTGAAAAAGGCTCCATCGGTTTTGTGTCATACTTAACCCCGTCTTTCCACTACTACACAACGAGAACAAGCAACTTATTAGTTATATGTACAGCACGTGATTCAATGTCTTCTCATTTTCAATTTTGTGCCTCTATATTCTAACTTGTATCTATTTCTCAATTCTTTTCGGAAAGTAAATTCTAGCATGAAATGTAAAAGATTAATTTTTCATACTCCTAACAGTTTTTTATTTTTTCTGACTGAAGTATGTGGTTCTGGCACCATTCGTGGCTCATAGCATACACTCATTCTTCTTGAGCAAAGATGAAAAGCAGAGGGACATTGTAAACTTTATTATATTCCCATTTCTACTATCAAGAATGATTCACAATCAAATATGGATATCCCTATCTCGTTACAGAACTGCCAAGGGAGATAATCGGATTGTTGATAAGAGCATTGAATTTGACCAAGTTGACAGAGAAAGAACTTGGTAAGCTTCAGCAGCGGATTCGGAATTTAAATATTTATATTGTTACCATTTAATTCATTATACTTTTACGAGCACGTAATTTAGTATTTTCTAATAATAAACGCTCAAACTATATTGCATCTATCCTGTCCCTCTCTGCTTTACCCACTCTCCCTATCCCTAACCCCACAGAATGGAAGGAGGCGGTAAAAAACGAAAAGAAAATCTCCCCTGGCCCTCCTCCTATATATATATATATATATATATATATATATATATATATATATATATATTACCGTTCTTGATAATGTCGGCGACAATGTCTACATTTATTTTCTATGTTTTATTTTATCATAAAGACCTGGATACGATGGCCCTATTTTTACGAGTTAGATCCCACTATTCAGTGGTTAACATTTAGGAATGGGTGGTACGTCATTTGGCCAAGGGTTTTTAGAAAACGCACAAATGATAAATACCTAATATTTGAACTTATTTATGGAAAATCTTAGTAGCTCAGTTGGTTAGGTACCTCTGCACTTTCATCTTATTGGTGAGGATTTGATTCCCAATCTTATCATCCCTCCCCCATTTCTCCTTTCACAAATAAAAATGGATTCTGAACTTACGAATTAAATCAATATTTGCCCATATTTGCCATTACACTATAGCTTTTTCATAGGTCAAGGAGTAGATACAATTTATATGTATACAAAAATATTTTTTGTATCTATTTTGATAATAAAACTTTTCGTCTAAAAGGGATTCAATTGAACTCCTTTATGACTATGCAACTTTGGACCAAGCTCAAAAGGGGTGGGATGAGGGCTCCAAAAAAAAAAAAAAAAAAAAATCTAAATGCAAATATTAAAGAATATGATTCATGTCTATCGATCTTATGTTTGCAGGGATGATCAGATCATATTTAATGGTCTCTTATTCTATTATGGATACATGAAGTTGGAGCAGTCTCATCATATTCCATTTTGGAGGACAGATGGGATAATTTTGACAGCTTTGATTCATATTGGTCCTGTGGAATTTCTCTATTATTGGCTTCACAGAGCTTTGCACCATCATTTCCTTTACTCTCGCTATCACTCTCATCACCATTCCTCTATTGTCACGGAGCCCATAACTTGTAAGCCATCTCTCATTTCCTCTATTGACTCAAATATATTGAACTTATATACATTGACATTGACAGTGGAACGAAGAAATAGTATATGTTTACATTTTCAATGCATTTTAACTTAGTATTATAGTATGTTATTTACTTTATTTTCTAAATTACTATATTAGGTGAATTATCCTTTGCAAAAGATCGTGTTAATCTAGTGGTGTAAATTGTTATGCAATGTAGTGCCAGAAGTTATAAGATCCTAAGACTAAAGGTGATAAACAATGATGGATGTAGTATATAGTTAATGGGTTTAGTTAAACTAGTATATTTTTGACACAGTGTGTATATACACATAAATAATCATATTTTTTAGGAAAATATTAAACGTTGAACATGTAATTAAAAATGTAGTGGATTTAATAATAAGAACCTGAATGTTAAACTCATTAAATTTAAATTACCGAATCCGCCTCCTATGATGAAATATTTTAAGATGGCTCTAATTAAGTACTAAGACCTGCCTGCTAGCTAGTGCCTAGCTAGCCATCATAGGTGGCCAAGTTTCCAGCTTGAACTGCACCCCACCATATAGATTGAATCTATATGATGCAACAACAGGACATATTTTAGGAGTAAATTGATCCGACAAACACACATGACAATGAGATAGATATATCATGAAAATTAGTGATAACTACATATCCTTCTTAAATGTTTTCAACTGCATATCAGCTGGACATGACAACCTTGAGGTTTCATTTTACTATTTGCTTTGGCTGTCTTGTGGATTAGTACCTAATGCTGGGGACCTTTAATTAGTCGTGAGACTTTGGCCCATTTGAGCAGGAATACCATGTTATAAAGGCAGCGGTGGTCTTTCTTCATGCACTTGTCCCGCAAACTAGGCAAATAAACCGACGGTTTTAGGTTCTATCTACTGAGTGTAATAAATATCTTTACACAACCACGTCATTTGTAAGTTATGTTGATCGAATTCTCCTCCGTTCCTTTTTGAGGATCCACCCGGCATATTTTTGGAGAATCCGAACAATATTGGTAGTATAATTTTTCTTAAAATTGTTCATATGAGTTTAAGTGGGCGTTTGGACATAAGAATTGTAAAAGGGTGAAATTTTTTTCAAGTGAATATGGTATTTGAAATTTAGAGTTGTGTTTGAACATGAATATAATTTTGGGTTGTTTTTGATGTTTTGTGAGTGATTTGAGTGAAAATTTTGAAAAACAGCTTTTTGGAGTTTTTCAAATTTTCGAAAATTTCGAAATGCATCTTTAAATAAAAATTGGAAATTTTATGAAAAAACGTTGATTTCTGAAAAAAGTGAAAATTTTTTGGAAAAAGGATTTTTTTTAATGTCCAAACGGGCTCTAAGTTACGAGTGCTAATAATGTAAAAATATTTATACAACTATAAGCATTAATCAGTAACTTGGTAAATATAGTACTAACCTGCTCAAGGACGGATACACCTTTCCCCAAGCAGTGTCACGTGACACCGCTTCGTCAAAATTTTCTACGAAATATAGATAATATGCAAAATAAATTATTTGGTATAATTATAAAATACAAAATAAAGGAAGGATGGCACAACATAAACCTCAATCAGAGCAGGAGGCAGACAAAAAATGATGTTATTGCTTGTCTTTTATATATATATTTATAAATTAAGCGTTTGCAATACATGCCCTTGAATGACTTTTATCCCCAGTCAAAATGGAGTACCAAGCCAAAGTTTCAGTGCTAGTATTATTACAAGTTAAATTAGTCTTGATTGTAGTTCCTAGGATGTAAGTTAAAAAAATGTCATTAATATACACACAGGAACTATCAGCATTTCTGGCCTTCCAAAAACCTTTTTCTTGGCTCCTTCAATTGCTAATGTATCTGTCACTTTATTTTGTTCCTGTAAGTGTGCTTGATCGTTGGATTGCCCAATTTTGCATTAGCAACCTGCATTCAAAGTTATCACTTGTCATTGTAGTGATTTATTCATTTGTTAATTTATTCAAGTATTGGCACGCTTAAGAAAAGTCATGCGTATGTGCATCATTGAACCTGCTATTACATATTAAACTTCATACTATAAAAATCTTTAAACTGTTACAGTACATATATCTTAAATGCAAGTCATATTACTTGTAGTAATTTAGTTAGCTATGTGTGTTTGATGAATATTCTTCTTTTTGTCAGCTGTGATTCATCCATTTGCGGAGCATGTAGCGTATTTCGCGCTGTTTGCCATCCCAATGCTCACAGCAATACTTACTGGGACTGCTTCTATAGTGTCACTTGGGGGTTACATCACTTACATTGATTTCATGAACAACATGGGACACTGCAACTTTGAGCTTATACCTAAGTGGATTTTCTCTGTCTTTCCACCTCTCAAGTACTTGATGTATACACCCTCGTAAGTCACTTAACCTTCCATCTTAATTACTTTTATCAAGACCAATTAAGTAAAAATCTTTAACATCTTGCTTCTGGTATTCGTCCAATTCAAAATAATTGGTCAAGTTAACAGCGTAATTTGAATTTTTTATAGATGTCAAATAGATCATAAATAAAGTTCTTTTCCGCTTAACAAGATTTGACTAGTTGTGTGCTTGTGCATTCCACACTAGTTCTTTTCCGCTTAATGTTTGAGTTACATTTACTTTATTACATAGGCGATCCCTAAGCTGAGATACAATAGAACTCTTTCCGGGTTTGAAGAATATGAATTCATGAAGTAAAAAGAAAGGTGAAGAAGCCATTTTAACTGAATGTAACACCCCCGACTCTAGACAGAATCTCACATCGGTAAAATACTAGAGGGATGCTGAGTATATAAGTTGACAAACCTTAGACCCTAGTAGCGCATTTTAAACCCGTGAGGGACTACGCCCAGAGTAGACAATATGATCACTAACGGGCTGGACTGTTACAGATGGTATCAGAACGATGGTGGGTCAGAGTTCAACTTGAGTTTAGACAAATCCCGGTTAGGCATGGCAAACCTCAGTGTTGAGTCTAGGCAAAACGTGAAACTCTCCACCTTTTTTTCCACTTTTAAAAAATGCACTACAGAGCATATACTTTTCTTCTTAGCTCGAAACACCCATGGATAAGGTGATATGACACATTCTTTCCAGCTGAAAATATATATGTAAGAATTTCTCTTTTTGAAGTTTGATATTGAAATTCTGTATGCCTTTCAACCTTACCGTTCAATGGTGATAAGAGTTTTCAAAATTTAATAGTACTGTTTAGGTAGCATGCTTTGACGCCTAGTATTTAATGTTCAGTTAAAAACTATTTGTGCAAACAAATGAACTCTCTTATGTCTAGGTGAGAATGAGAAAATATAATACTCCATATTCCTTTTTCCATGAACATTACGTTCTCTTCACGGTTATGGGACGACCCCAAGATGTGATCAGTTGAACACATTTAAAGGTACAATTGTTACTCATAGCTATTTAGAGCAGTAGGAATGGAGAAACTTCCCGCAGGAAGCATTCCTACTTTAATGAACCCTACAATATGGCATAAATCCTAATTAGTTCGACTAATGAATATTAGATACCCGATCGATAGTTAAACCATAAAAAGCATAGATTGGACTTTGCTTTACACTTTAGCTCATCCCATTTCATTTTTCGCAGAAATGAACAATTAACTTCAATTCTTTGATGACACAGGTACCACTCACTGCATCACACTCAATTCAGAACAAATTACTCACTTTTCATGCCAATGTATGACTATATTTACAACACATTGGACAAATCTTCAGATACATTATATGAAAAATCACTTGAGAGAGTAGGCGAATCGCCCGACGTGGTGCACTTAACACATCTAACAACTGCAGAATCCATCTACCATCTCCGCCTAGGATTTTCATCCTTGGCCTCACAACCTCACACCTCAAAATGGTATTTTCCGATAATGTGGCCAATCACTTTGTGGTCTACGATGATTACATGGTTTTATGGCCATGCATTTATTGTTGAGAGAAACACATTCAAGAATCTCAAATTGCAAACTTGGGTCGTCCCAAAATATCGCGTACAAGTAAGAATTTGCACTGCATACTCCTTTTATTTCATTTATGTAGCGTTGTTTGAAAAAGGGCATTTGGAACTTGAAGTCTTAAACATATATACCATAAATTCGACGACTACAAGTAAACTTGTTGCATTTTCCTTGATTTTGTTACAGTACTTTATGCCACGGCAAAGAGAGTCTATTAGCAATTTGATGGAGAAAGCCATCATAGAAGCAGATCAGAAAGGCGTAAAGGTTTTGACTCTAGGGCTTTTAAATCAGGTAAGTTAAAAAATAAGTCAATGATTCAAATGGAATTTAAGTTATATTGATATTTCTACGCTATCAATAAATCTAACATGTGATAGCAGGTTACTTATCATTTTTATCAAGTTATTAGTTAATATTTATTATGAAGATTTACATGTAATTACCTTATCAATGACCTGATTGCCTGAACAGTGCGAAAAAACTTAAACTCATTCAAATGATGCTTGTTTGCATTTCAAATTTTGTTAGCTGTTATCAATTGTCTATCATCAGAAAAATAATCTATTCTCTGATATTCCATAATCTGCAGCTAATTCACTAAATATTGGTCAGAGAAAGTCATGAGTTACTTGAGCTAATGCATTTGTACATTGAAATTTGATAGGAGCTACTAAGTATGAATGGTGAACAATACATAAAAAGGAATCCAGAACTTAAAGTGAAGTTGGTTGATGGAAGTAGCCTAGCAGTTGCTGTGGTTCTAAACTCAATTCCTAAAGGAACTACTCAAGTAGTTCTTGGCGGCCATTTATCAAAAGTAGCTTATTCCATTGCCCTTGCTTTGTGCAAAGATGGAATTCAGGTATCATTAATATTCAGTCACTAAATTGTACAACGAATTTTCTCCAACAACTTCCGTTTCACTTATATTGCTGTAACTGTTATAGGTTATCACATTGTCTGAGAATGATTACAACATGCTTAAAGCAAGGCTTACCCCTAAGGCTGCAACTAATCTGGTCACTTCAATAACTTTTACTCCAAAGGTATGTATAAACAAAAAAACAATGGATCGGAATTCATTGTTTTCAATCTTGTACTTTGATCATCCATAACTAGAGATGGTAAACAGGGCGGGTTGAGTCAAACTTATGCGGGTTAAGTTCGTTTGGACCAAATTGGTCATCGGGTCATAACCCAACCCTCTACGTGAACGAACCTCCTCTCATTTTTTATTTTGCTTTTTGAAAAACAAAATATCAAAGTTAATGCATTTTTCTCAAATCCTTAGCTTAAATTCTTCAAATTTTACGTAGTATTCAATCTTCAAATTTAATTTTGTACGTCTGAATTTTGGTTGTATGTGACCCGTTGGTTACACTATGATTTGTGTTGATCCAATAGCTTAATCGATCACTTCGAGTTCAATCCGTCGGATCAATAGTCAACAAATTAGTCATAACTCAACACATTTAAATTTAGTTTAGTTGGAAATATTACTAAAGTATGAGTTGATTTTGCCACCTCTAATCTTCAGCTAACATGCCAAGATTGGTTTGTCCAGCGGTGACTCCTCACCTCTGAAATGATAATTAACTCAACTCTTGTTTTGTAGACATGGCTAGTAGGGGATGGATTGAGTGAAGAACAACAATTGAAGGCACCAAAAGGAACATTGTTCATTCCATTCTCACAATTCCCACCAAGGAAAGCTCGCAAAGATTGCTTCTACTTCCACACCCCGGCCATGATCGCTCCCAAGCATCTTGAAAATGTTGACTCTTGTGAGGTTGGAAATAGTTTAAACTTGATCTCTCCTTTATTTTTTATTTTTGTAAATAGTGGTGTCCGGGCTAGCGTGCGCGCACCTCGGCTATTCCACCAGTTATTTACCATCTCCCACCAGCACAGATATCGTGCAACTCTGCCCACCAAGGGCACTTAAACAGATGAGAAGAAAATCAGCTAGTGTTTTTTGGTAGTCTTCTTTATTATTGTTCAATATTTGAATACTTTTTCTAATATATCAATATTTGTGTTCTATATTTGTTGTAACGCTAGAATTGGCTTCCGAGAAGAGTTATGAGTGCATGGAGAATAGCTGGGATTTTACACGCATTGGAAGGATGGAATGAGCACGAGTGTGGGGACAAGATGTTTGATATTGAGAAAGCATATAAAGCCAGTCTTGATCATGGTTTTCGCCCATTAACCTTGACTTCTGCCACTGAATCAAAGGCTTAAATCGTTCTCCTGTCCTTGGTATAATTGACCAGTGGTTATTTACAAGTTATTAGTAACATGTAAGACTTTTTAGTTTAATTTGTTTGAAATTTAAGATTTGTTATTTAACATTATAACGTATAAGGATGCGATATATCAGTGAATTCCATTTATTTATAGTGGAAGTATGTATTTGCTGGTGCTTCGAATGCATTTGGCTATCTATAATGGAATTTTATCTTAATGTTTCTTAGTTACATGATTGTCAAGTCTTTTTTGGTGAAAGAAAATTTTGATTCAACATCACCAGAACAAAAACTTACAAAACCAGAACAAAACTTACAAATTTTTCTTTAGCTAACTCCCCTGGTAGATCTGCCCAGGTAGTAGCAGGTAGCTACAAGAGTCTCTAAATCTATTTATCTAATGTTTACCTTGAAAATGGTAATAACAATTAGATTTGATTTTGTGGTTATAAAAATATGTGATCTATTTTTATGCTAGTTGTTAGGCAATAGATGCTAAGTGAATGATTAGAAATTAAGATGATAGCTTGTAGATGGCTTAATAATCGAACCGAAATGGTTGGGAATCGAGGCCTCGAGCTTGCTTATACGGGGCCTCGAGGTCGAATTGGAAGCCCGGTTAAGGGCAATCGATGAAGGATTAACAGTTATGAGAGCTGTGATTGCGGCTCTTTATGTCCAATAATGAGCAATAAATGAAGAACAATTAATAGAACACAATGAGTATAAGCAATAAATGTAAATAAAGAAACCAAGAGAATGAGTTCAAGCTAGAGAGCAGAGAATATTTTTGTATTGAATGTAGTGTGTTGTATCTTGTGTATCAGATGCCTTTTACAAAATGACAAGGATCCCCTTTTTATATGGAGGGAAATCCCAACATAGTACATGAGTATTTATTACAAAGAAAAGTAGCTGGCACAGCTACTTACTAGTCTGGTACAGACTAGTGTTTCCTTTGCAGGTTTTGTCAGCTTTGATCATATGCCTTGGGAACTTCCCGCTAGTGCGTCGTAACCGTAGGTCGGCACTGCCTTGAGGTCAATCATTATGAACCCTCGGGGGCGGACCCCGAGCTAGACTTCGAGCCTTCCGGGGGTGGTCTTTTTGAGGCGCCCTAGTGATCATAAACTTGAGCCCTCTGATTTTTACCGTATACAGATAGTCCCCGCGTTTCTTAGAATAAAATGATAAGAAACAATTTTGACACCGATCCCCTCGAGCCTCTTGCGATGATGTCATGCTTATGACGTCAGCTTTTCCGATTACTGAGACGTCTCATCGATACGTCTTTCTGAGGAACATTTGATGTAGCGCCAGTTTACTTTTTCCAGGCGGTAATATCGCCGCCGATCCGTTTCCCAACATGCATTGATTGCGTCTGTCGATCCATTCTCCCAAGACATTGATTGTGCCGTCGGCACGTTTCCCAGAGGCATTGATTGCACTGCTGGTTATGCTTCCTCCTTTCTATAAATGGAGGTTTTCTTGAATCAAAACTCCATTCAATCGTTCTCCAACAACCTTTTATTCCTCTCTTCTCTTTGTCCTTATCCAAATTTATTTCCCATGTTTAAAGCCTGTGATCATAGGGTCACATGGCAGAGTTCCCATCAGTTTTTCCATGGCTCTTTCCCAGAGCCTTCCCCTACTGAGCAGGATCGCACTGGTTTATTGTTGTTGTTGCTGTTGTTGGCCCAAAATAATGAAAGAGAAATCTCAAATTATCTTTGCATTAAAGAGCATGCGGACTATGAACTTCTACTCATCTCTCTTAACTACCCGGTGCGGCATTTTACTCCCTTTGCTTTTCGTGGAGTGAGGTGGTACCATCTAATAACTGTTGCGCCCCGCACCGGTGCAACGTCTCAAGAAGTGGCTTCACAATAGTGGCGCTGGCGAGACCCATATTCGCCAAATTTTTCACCCAGCCACTTCTTCATCTTTTTTTGCTTCTTCATCTTTTTCTACTTCTTCTTCATCGTTTTCTACTTCTTCCTTATCTTTTAAGACGCTGTTTGGAAGGTCGAGGTGAGGGACCAAAGAAATGATTCTCGAAGGCATTGTTCCCGAGGATGTACCCCCGAGAGTAGATTAGACTTTTAGCTGTTACTTTTGCTTCTTTGTTTCTGTATAAGGACCCTTCGTGGGCTTTTGTAGTCATGTGTAAGGTCCCTTCATGGGCTTTTTGTAATCATCGTTTATTAATGCAAAGAAGTTTCTTCAATTTGTCTCTGATTTATGCTGGATTTTCCTTTATTTGCATTTGTGAAGAATCTGAGTGCATGACTCTACCGATCGGTCCGAATACCAGGCCCGGGTGTAGGTATTTCCCCGGTTCTTGATTAGTTAATACGATATCTTGTGGAGCCCTTTGTCGTTCCTCGGGCTGAGCCCGGGTTGAATTGATACAAGTTTAGGCCGCCGGGACCTCTGTACTTGAATCGAGCGAGAGTGAGGCTTCGAGTTACAAAATGAGTTTTAGCCTTTTAGGCCCCGTTGATAGTCCTCGGGGGAGATTTTTCTTGACCATCTGAGAATAAAGATAGCCCTGAGACTTTCACAGATAGTCCCCGAGTGAGGGTTTGTTCGAGTTCGGACAGCCTTGATCCGAAGGCAAAAATAGCCCTGGGGCTTCAATAGTGATCCTCGAATGAAAACTGGCCCGGGCTCGAGTAGCTCGAGGGCCAAAGAATCGGATGAATGACCCGCATTTGCAAATGGCAGAAATCCTCGAGGTAGGGTACCACCTCGAGGTCAGGCTTATATGAGTAGCTTCTCGGAGCTTATATTTTGTGTTGACAGAAGTCCTCGAGATCGAGCACCATCTCGAGGCCTGTAATGATGTTAATGGCTTTGTAGAGCCTATCTTCTTTTTGATAGAGATCGTCAAGATCGGGTACCATCTCGAGGCTCAGTTGGTCTCCGTGGCCTTTTGATACCCAAAACGTCGTACGACGGCGTTGATCGTATGGCATGGTTATGGGACGACCGAGGTGATCTTGCCGGTACATCTTCCCAAAGCGATAATGGCTTAGTTAGTATTTTTAATTTGGCCTTTGAGCCAGGTGGACAATCGCCGCTTGCTCTATATATATGTTTGTCTTTCCTCCCTTGAAGATTACGCTATTCGGAGTAGCTATCCTCCTTCATAGAGATCTTCTTCCCTGTGTTAGGTCTTTCACCATTTTATTTTCGCTCGAATTCCCGCTCCAATTCTCTGATTTTACCACAGTTTTGGCTGCTACGCCAGGGTCCGTTCGGCAAGGAGAAGGAAGTTCTGCCTCTGGTTCCCGCCTAGTTGATGCGCCTCCGGTGTCTGGCGACCCAACCTCGGAATATTTTGTTTCGAGGAGGGACCCTTTGTCGGAAAAACCTCCCAATGTTCAGGGTCATTGGGAGTATGCCTCAAAGTTTATTTCTTTAATAGGAGAGGGGCACCTCGAGTCAGTGAGTAAAGATTGTGTATGGGGGGAAAAGGTGGTACTACAGGTACCTTCCCCTGAAGAGAGCATCATGGATCATGCCGAGGGGTTTTTGAACGTGTACATGTACCCCTTTACGCTGGGCCCCCTTGATAGGGTTGTGCTAGACTTCTGTCAAAAGTATCGGGCTACCTTGGCACATGTTCATCCGTCATTTTGGAGGATAGTATTGATGATGAGATTCTTTGCGGAGGAAGCAGGGCTTGAGTTTACCCTTAGTCATCTCATCAGGCTGTACCGGCCTTTTCATCATTGAGGCCTGTTAACCCTACGATGCCGATCCACCAGGCCCTTTGTTTTCGATGATGAAGTAGATGGAGATCGGGGATGGATGAGCCGATTCGTCCGAGTATGGACTATCGACGTTATCCCTGTGGAGTTTCTGCCATTTCCCGAGGAATGGAATTTTACACGTAAGTGGTACACTTCGTGCTTTTTTTGTTTTGCTTATGGTGGAGGCAGGTTCCGTAAATGCGCCTTTTTGTTTCCTTTTCTGCAGCAATTCCATGGATGCCATACGAGGTCCCTAACCTGACGGATTGGGCTTGGAAGTTGGCAACTCACTCGACTTATGATGATCGTAAGTGGCGAGACTTGTCCAAGGGTAGATGGGAGGCAAAACACCACGGTACGTGCTATGTGTTTTGCTCCTTTTTTTGAAAGGTTCTTTCTTTTTATGTGTACTAACTCCGTCATCGTAGGCATTGGGGAGTTCTTTGAGGTGAGATCGTGCCCTCTCACAGAGAGAGAAGGATCGTCAGCTTTTGGGCCGAGGAATAGTAATAATAAGCGAAAGGAGCCTTCGCAGGGCGACGATGCCTATAGCAGGATGAGTCCAGCCCGAAGGCTCAGAGAGGATGCATCAGCCGAGCCTACAGCGCCCTAGATCTCTGGCCTTGGAAAACGGTCCCTCCTCCGCTGCCATCTTCCTTTCCCGTCGGAGGTACCTCGAGGAACGAGGGTTCTCTGCCGCCGACTTCTTCTCCCGTCGAAGGTACTTCGAGGGATGCTCGAGGCCAGGGGCCGCATACATCGAGCGACCGTGTCCCAACCGAGAGCGATTTTACTGGGGTTGATGGAGCCAGACTAGTAGATGTGAGCTCGACTTTTGAAGAAGCTCAAAGGCTCTACTCTGTGGTGAGTTTTGGCCGATCGTATCGTTCTTTAGCTTTTGCAGCTTTTTCTCTCTTATCGAGTTTCTCCTTCGTAGGCTTTTAACAAGCTCAAGTCTGAGCTACTTCGTCGTGAGGACTTGCTGCGAAGAGCCGTGGATGGGGAGAAATCCCTCAGGCTTCTTTGTAATGAAAGAGAAGACGAGTTGGCACACTTGCAGTATGAGGCGAGTCAAAGTCTAGACTACGAAAGTTACCTCGAGGAGCAGCTAATTGTTGTTCCAAGGGAGTGCGTGTTTCTTCTTCTATCTTCTGAGGCTAATATTTCGTTTTCTTCAGTTTCAGAAAAAGACGCAGGACCTGGAACGACTTCGGAGCGAAGTTGGTCAAGCCAGATGTGAGTGCGATGAGCTAAAGGCTCGGGTGGACGGCCAGGTTGCCGCTAAGAAGGATGCTTTGGCCAAGGCTTCCGCCCTCGAAGTGCAACTCCGCAACGCTCGTCGGAATAGGTCGGTCCGAACGAACATGATTACAAAGCTCGAAACTGAGCTTCTAAAGATGAAGACCGAAGTTGCGGAGGCTCGGGCTGAAGCCGGAGCGATTCGAACTAAGGCTGATAAG